CATTTGTTGTTATATTGTTTTCGAATTGAAAGCCGTTTGAACGACACAGTCAGCCTATCGTACAACTTTTACAGTAGTTTATAGAAAAACGATCGGTCGATTCAGAGAAACAGTTTGTCCTTTTCGGTGGTTACCTAACTAGCTAACTTACTAGCTAACAAGCTAGCGTCGTATCCGTAATGCTCATTGTATGCGGACGGGCCGTTCACATGCCGGGTCAGTTCGCTAACGTAACTGCTGATAGCCGCTGGAGTTAAACATGAAGGGTTCACACGTTTCTTCGATACGTCCCCCCACACGCAAACAGTATTACAATATCAGTGTAGATACATGTTGATAACCTCTCGTGTGTTCGTTTAGTTTCGGTTATGTTTGCTGCTGCTAACTTTAGCTACATGTAGCTTTGAGTGACTAACGTTAGCTTCTCTCTTGGTTAACACAATAGGGTACATCGTCGCACTTTGTTTATTATCTTTACCTGAGTCGAGGTGGCTTCACGAACCCAATCACAATAACGCACAGGTTAACTTACTATATAAAAAACACTGATACCTTGGCAGTAGTTGTAATATTCTATTTTAACGTTATGAACCGTGTGTGTATCGCACACGGAACAAAGACGAGGCAGGCTAAAGCTAGCCCGTGCTAACGTTAGTTGACAGAGCTAACGCTGATGTGAAAGTTAGCAGTGTGGCTCATATTTCCATCGAGCTTCTTGTAACGTTCACCTTAATGCGTTTACGATTCAGTATGATCCTAGCCGGTCGACATAATTTGTTGTGTTAACAGGCTGACATGTTGTCACTTGTTAGCGTTAATATGACTTGCTACAATGAGTCACTTTATGTGGTACAGTCTAACCCACGGAACTTGTGTATGCTTGCAATTTCCTTAGACACAGCTCAGCATGGCGTTAAGCCCAATATATTTTGTGTTAGGTTACTTTATACTTTAAGTCGAATTCCGAATCGCTGTCGCTATCTAAACGTATTTATTAGGTGAAACGGGTTATTATTCTTAATACCCTTAACATATGGTGGGGCATAATCGTTGTGTTTTTGTGTGGTAGACTGAGGGAGGGTTGTAAGTTGACACCCGGATAGTACCCTCTTGGCTGGCTAAATTTAACCCGGGTGGTGGGGTGGGGGGGGGGGGGGCGACAGATGGGGTTATAGTCTTACATGGTATACTTGACAACAGTAAGTCTCAGTCTGCTCTTAGTTCGTTTATTGTACTTGTATTCGACATTTATTCAGTATTATATTTCACATAGCGATTTTACTAACTCACAATTGTTATTCAACTTTGTTTATGTTCCCTCTTCCTCTCTCCCCCAGATTTTTCTATTTTGTACATACATTGTTTTGTATATACTGTATATGATGACTTCAGTGGTCAGCAATCCAGCCCGAGGGCCTCGGGACAGAGCGCTGCCCGCCACCACACAGACAACACAGCCACAGAAACAGATACAGGTGAGGGGTCACTGTTGGACATTCAGAGGTGAATCCAGGCCTTTCCTGTTCAAGTATTATTGTTTCATCTAACCAAAGGTTGCCTCAAAGTGATAAATACATTTTTTGTTAAAAAACGTTATCATACTGAATAGGGATGGAAAGATAAAAGGTATCACAGATTGCAAAAAAAGTTATGGCGATTGAATTCCCATTTTTGTGATCGTGAATATCCTCACATTAATGTCTTCAGAAAGCTTCTTTGCTTACAAGCATGGTAGTTGGGTGAAAAATAGTCGGGAATTAAAAGATAAAGGTATTGTCAATTGCAAAAGCACAGACTCTGTCTTCTTAATGTATTGTTTTAAACTGAAGTCTGTTTCTCTACCAGGCAACAGCAGAACAGATTCGCTTAGCCGAAGTGATCTACGACAAAAATGATGCTGACTTTGAAGACAAGGTTAAACAGGTAACAGTCTTCTATATTCAAACTTAACATTTTTAACATTACAGCCCTCATTGCATCATTGATGATCTAACATAAGACTGTCTGTTTTTCATACTCAAAGCTGATTGAGGTAACTGGGAAGACTCAAGATGAGTGCGTGGTAGCCCTCCATGACTGCAACGAAGATGTAAACAGAGCCATCAATTTTATGCTGGAGAGCACCTCTGACCCAGTAAGAGTCTTGTATACACATTCCTGAACCATACTGATATGATACTTTTTATTATGCTTGTGTTTGCATCTGTTTGCAATTCCTTTGGGTTTTGAAGAATTCACATATATACAAGTGTTTTTTAAATGTAAAAATTCTTCTTCTCTGATTTACCTCTGTCAGAGCTCCTGGGAGACAGTGGGGAAAAAGAGGAGCCTTGGGAAAGAAGGACCCTCAGAGATAAAGGAGAGCAGAGAGAAAAGGGGAGGAGAGAGAGAGGCTAGTCGAGGACGTGGGGCGTCCAACAGGAGGGGCAGAGGCATCAGTCGAGGGCGTGAAGGTAAGCCTCTATATGTTTTATGTAGCTGCTGCATGTTCCCTGTTAGTTTGTTGAAATAATGTCCTCTCTTTGATGCATCTTTCCTCATTGACTGCTTATTATCACGGTTATGTTGCTTAAAGTATGGTTGGTATATGGATTTGTCAACTAACCGTCTCTCCCAGATTTAAATAAACTTTAATTTACCAGCAGGTTTCATTAAAAAAAAAAACGTTATTTTTGTATTCCACTTTAGTGTTCACAATGAGATTCCTAATTTAAATGAATCACTGTTTGTTTGTTTCCAGGTCGGTTAGAAGAGAATGGGTTTGAGGTGGCACCTGGAGAAAGAGGGGGAGACCGTGGGCGCAGAGGGCGTGGCAGAGGTGAGTCATATGGGAAATTACACTCCTTCATAGATTATTTACTACATTGTCATTTGTTGGCAATGAAACCAAAAGCACACAGTTTGAGTATATAATTATTATGGAATAAAGCTGGATCCAAAGCTACAACCACATTTTTCAGATGCTCTTTTTACGATACATAAAAAAATAAATAGAATGACAGCAGGCTAGAAACTGAAATGTATGCTTTAAGAACATTTAATAACGTCTTGTCAACAGCGATGATAAGATAGGGTTTTTTATGTGTTGATGAAGTAGCTCGCAACACATCTATTTGTGTCTGCAGGCATTTAGAGTGTTGCAGCACTCAACATGTGTGGAATGTGCTCAGTCCCTGCAGCTGCTTGAGTGTTTGGTGAGGCAGGTTGTCAATAGATAAAGAGAGTGAAAGGGAGTAGGATCTGACTTGATTTGTTGGCATTTTGTGATAAAGAATGGTGAGGTTGATCAAGGCCTGGTTCAGAGGAAATTGGGTCAGATTTGTTGTTGTGCTTTTAACAGCGGAGAAAGGCATGTATTCTTGCCACTTATTTGATATCTATGAATGTTTTAGCAGTTATCTAGTCGCTAAACCAATATTCCCAGAGGTTCAATTATTCTGAACATAGAAATGCAGATCTTATGAGTTGTTCAGACAGCCTGTCAACAGTTGCCTCAATAGCTCATGCTTCTTAATTTTTATCCTACAGATTGGTTTGGTATCAATTTCAGGCAGTTAACTGTGCTATGCTTTCATTGTAGAACAAAAAGGGAAAATATAACTTAATATTAAAATAAATAGACACATTAATGTAGGTATACTAATGCTCAACAAAGATCAATGATTACAACAGATGTCATCTGGTTGTTTTGTTTCCTCAGGGGCAGGGGTTCGCGGTAGAGGAAGAGCAGCTGATGGCACCAGGTTCTCCGGCGAGGGAATGGGGTAAGAACATTTGTCAATTGTAATCTTAAGCCTGAAGTAGGATGAGGAGGTGATGATGGTAATAACAAGCACATATCTTAAAAAAACAAACGTGTAGATGAATGTTTCTGAATCTCCTCATTTATTAGCTACAGCATACCAGATGATATTCTCATTAATTGTATCTTGGCTCATCTACCTTACCTGTCTCCTCACCTTTCTTGTTGTCTTTTTTTCCACTGTCCACTTCTTTCAGCACCTTCAATCCATCTGACTATGGGGCTAACTCTCGAGCTCGCCAGGAGGCATGGGATGGCAATGGACCTGCCGAAGGATCTGGTAAGTAAAATAACAGAACATAAGATGTTTTGAAGCAGGCTTTTAATTTGACTGGTGTTAAGCCAGGCACTTTTTTTATTTGGTATCAAATTTGTTTCATATAGCCCAATATCACACATTTGTCTCAGGGGGCTTTCATGGGTGTACAGCAGACAACACCCTCTGTCCTTAGACCCTGACAATGGACATTGGAAAACGCCCAAAGTAACCCCACAAAAAACGTATAATAACATTAAAACATGGCCAATATAAAATGCAAACTTATATATATATAATAAAAAACAATATATATATATATATATATATATATACCGGAAAACCGGTTCCGAACCAGAAGAGCGCAAGCACGGAGCGGCGTTGGTGTGAAAGGGACATTACATTACTCTGCAAATGTGGCTATATAAGGAAATGGCCTTTTTGCATAAAACATAGTTGTGTTAAAGGTGGGGTAGGTAATTTTGGAGAAAACAGCTAGAGTGCGCTAGAATTTGAAAATACACAGCCGGAAAAAAATCTGCCACTTCCTTACAGAGCCCCTCTTCCAACACACACGAACGCGTACATGACCAATGAGGGCACGAGATAAGTTTATGCACAGACACACTGACAGGCAGGTAGGCCATCCAGTTATTTTAGCCGGGCCGGCTAAAATGATTGGTCGTGCTTTTTACAGCACTACGGCTTCCACAGATGACATTTTTTTTTATGGATTTTTTGTCAAAGCACTTAAGATATTCATTGCTATCGGGATGTTAAGAGCATTCCATGGAATATAACAAAAAGTGTATCTCGAGCCGGTTTCTCAAACTTACCTACCCCACCTTTAACTCAGTTATTGTGCAGTTGGGTTATTTGAATACTAGATTTTCTTACCGGATTACACCAGACGTTTTAGAAAATATATTCCTTGATGACTTTGGCCTGGAGATAATGATGACGTTATCAAGCACATATCCTAATCTTTTATGTGGAAATAATCGACTGAATCTCGTGCTAATGTATTTTTGTAAAGGTTTTTTTATCCCAGTTCAGCAGATTGAGCACTGAAGTTGTGCTAACCAATTGAGTACAATTGTCATTCTTGAATCAACCATTTATTCCTAATGGAAATTGACCAAACGATAAGTCCTCCCCCTGAACGCAGGACTCCCTGGTAACCTCAGTAGCTTTTAATACTGGCCAACTGCCAGCTAAGAGACACAAAAACTCTGGGGATGCTTAGTTAGTAACATGCATTTAGGGCATACGAGTGCATACATTTAAAAAAAGGTCCCCAAACAGTTTAACTCATAGCACTGAGTATGTGAGACTCATATGAGTCATGAGGCAATACTAACTTGGCTGATTTCCTTGTCTTTTTTTATCCTAGGACCATGGACAGGCCAGGTTGAAGACTGGGCTTCAGAGGACTGGAATGAGGATGTAAGGCTAATTAATATGGCTCTGAATGGTTTCGGCTGCACAGCACATATGCCTAGATTAATCTGATGGATGCCTGTGTTTGCCCATGTCTTTTTTTACAGTTGTCTGAGACCAAAGTATTCACTGCCTCTTCTCCTCCAGCCAATATCACACCTGGACAAAAGTAAGCCACCCTGCCCAATTGTGCATTCAACTTAACACACTTCATAAAAAAAATTAAGCTTTTTACACATCAAGTTTATTTTTGAATAAACACTTTATTTGGTCAGTTTGGTTATCTTTTCATTTTTGACCCACTTCATTAAATTCCTTATTTCTCTTCCTCTCTATTCCCCTCACTCTTTCTGCTCCCTTGTCCATTGCTTCTCCTCAGTGTGGACCTTGCTGGCCTACTGCCTAATTCTGGAGTGGACTCTGACTTGGGGGCCATAGTTGATGGACCTTCAGCTGAGGATTTGGGCCAAAGCCTGGTGTTTACCAATTCCCACCACAATGGACGCACTGCAACACACAGCTACGCACACGCAACAGCCAACAGCTATGCCCATGCCGCCTCGGCTAGTTCCACCTACGCACATGCTGCACTGGTACAGAAAGCCACACACACATGCACTTACACATGACAGCACCAGCAAACACTTGTACATGGTGTCAGTGTATTCAACTCTTGTTTTGTTTCTCTCATCCTACCAGTCCTCTGTCCTGGGTTCCGGGTTCGGTTCTCTCAATGCGCCTAAGCCGACCCCTGCCGCTGATGTCCGGGCGTCAGAGCCGCTTAACGGGCCTCGGCTCGGTCAGAGAGCTGGTCCGACGTTGGCATCAGCCAGCAACATCAGCGGTTCCAAAGACACAGGGCCATCCCCGATACAGAACCCTGCTCCTGTCCTCTCTGCAGAAATCAAGACTCAGAGAGTGGAGAATGGCTCTGTTACTGCCCAACACAGTAAGTGGATGAGAAATCTAACACAACATTGTAAGACATGCCTATTACCTCTTTACTATGCAAGATGTACAGTGCACTGCAGTAAAATGATAAATGTATCTCCATTCTCTTCAGTGGCCATGAAGCTTCAACCGGAGCCTTCAGCGGTGCTCAGCCAGCTGTCGCTGAGGCAGCAGTCCTCCAACCTCCCCAGCACAGAGCCTCTGGGCATGTTTCATGCTCCACAGGTCCCTACCCCGCCAGGTACGGCTGCATGGCGGTGGTATATTAATAATTAATAGATATATGATATAAGACTAGCGAAGGTGAGGGCAACATTTGAAGTGTACCTTTTGCCGTTGTGGACTGTGATCACTGTGGACTGAAAAACAAAAAAGTGTTTTAGCCTGCTATACAACTACCTAAGCAATTGTTTTTCAGTGCATCTGTAGAAGTGCAAACGCACTAACAGTATCTGCATTATCATTGTGTTCTGCTCTGACAATTACTTTGACTTTAACAAATGTGTTAATATTCTTTAGGTCATGAGTCCTCAGTCTCTCTTATGAGAGATGGAGCTTCTCCAGGAATGAAGTATCCAGGCATGGAGCCTTCTGTCACAGAACCCCCTCAGCGGCAGCTAAAGACACAGAGACGCAGAGTACCTCCTTCCTCAAAGGTAAGCGCCTCTAAAATAGGAAGGTTCTTATGACAAAACAAGTGTTAACTTCACTGAAACAATAACAAAGGACTGTTACTTGTTAGACATAGTAGAAGCTGAAATTCTTTTCAGTAATTGATCTGCTCTCGCATGCTTGACAAGACGATGTGACAGACTCAACAAATAGTTCCTAAAGCTGTAAACTGAACTCCCATGACTTTATTTTTCATGATCACAGAGAATATCTTGTCAACAAACACAAAGGGTGCAGATAAATATTCAATACTTTTTCGGTATATCCATCTCATACCTTTATTTGTTAAAGCCTGCTGCTTAAGTCATGGCAATTTATACTGTAACTCATTCAAGTGGCAATTTGAAATATTTTGACTGAACATTGCCACTAACAAGTTAACATCTACATTCATTTTTGGACTAAAGAGAACCTTGCACACACACTGAAACATCTGATGCTTTTATGTATCATACATAGTAGAAAAACACATGCAAAATAAATAAAATTGGTTATAAAGTTATCAGCTATACTCAATTCCCTCCTGTGTTTTCAGATCCCTTCATCGGCAGTAGAGATGCCGGGCTCAGCTGATATCCCCGGCCTGAATGTTCAGTTTGGGGCTCTTGACTTTGGGTCTGAGGCTGGTGGTGGAGCAGTAGACATGGGACAGAAAGAGTCGGGCAGGGAACACGCCCTGACTCAGGGCCAGGCTCCGGCAGCTCCGCTTCCCATGGCTGTCCCCACTGCTGTCCCCACGCAGCAGCAGCAGAGCAGCCTGTTCTCCAAGCCAGGATCCATGAGGTTTGTGTGAGTTGTTTTGAAATGGTGTAAGGCACAAGTTACAAAGAGAAAACAGTTTTTATGTTTTAAATTAAATCAGTAATAATACATCCCACCTTTTACTCCAGCAGTACAGATTTAAACATATGTATCTAAATGATGTTAAATGATAACACAATTACTACCTGTTTAATGAAACTACACACGTCTGTATGTATCTTTTATTTATTTCGTCCCCTTTTTTTTCCTGGAGATAATGATGACGTTTACAAGCACATATCCTAATCATTTTATGTGGAAATAATCTACTGAATCTCCCATTCTCGTGATAATGTATATATATATATTTTTATCCCAGTTCAGAAGATTGAATTTAGCACAACTGATAACATTAAGATGGACATTTTAGGCAACTTTCGCAATGTACTTTCTTTTTCTTATTTGGTTGCTTCTATGCAATTTTATGTTGGCTGTTTAAATTAAATCAGTAATAATACATCCCACCTTTTACTTATTTCGCTTTCTCAATGTTATTGTGTATTCATCCATCTTTTCCCTTCTCTTGGTCCTGTGAACAGTGAACACATGAGCAGCCTACCCACCATGGGCGTCTCAGATCCCAGTTTCCCGTCACCATCCTTGGGTTTACCCAGTGCCACGCCCTCCCCCTCTATGGGTCTTCCCAGTGCATCGGCTCCACCCTCTTCAGTCGCTCCTCCAGCCAACCGGGTGGACACCAGTGGGCAAAGGTCCCTGCCCCCTCATATGGGCTACTCTCAGAGCCAAGATGTTCAATCAGCTGCTTCTCTTACAGTGAGGACAAACCTTTTTCTCTAAGTGCATAAGGACCCCCCCCCCGAAAACGAGATCATCTCAAGGGGCTTATCCTAATAATACCTCTAATGACAATAGGATGTGTGCTAATTTCACTGTTATTTCTAGAAACGGTCTACTTAAGATCTGACAGAGTACACTGACAGATAACAAATCAAATGATAACACTTTGATGATTTCTTCTTTTCATAGAATGGCTACAATGGCATGAAGACACAGAGCATACAAGACAGTAAGTACACTCAGCAACCGGAGTGGCCAATCAAATCCAATATGATATTGATTGCTAAATGCATCCGGTAGGAAATGGAAACTGTCCTTTTACTGAAAGTGAAGGATGTCTGATAAGCACCAGGACATACTCAACCAATCTGTTTTTTTTCCGATTACTTGTCATTATTTTCTCTCACAATCAGCTTGTAACATCAACCCACAAAAATTGACATCAAACCATTTTTTTTTTTCAGCTACGTCAGCATCCAGAACAGTGATGACTGAGTCTCCCATTATGACGAGTGACAGTGGCCACCACATCCCTTCCCCTGCAGTTACACCTTCCCACTCAACATCCATCCCCTCGCTCAGCAGGTACGGCATGGTTTAATGGTATTTTGTATTGCACCTCGATTCATTTATTTTGTCCCTTTTTTTCCCCCTTGGAGATAATGATGACGTTTACAAGCACATATCCTAATCCTTTTATGTGGAAATAATCTACTGAATCTCCCATTTTTCTGCTAATGTTTCCTGTGTAAAGGACTTTTGTTGCCCTAATAGATGTAAGCAGGCTTACTGAATCCTTTTTGCTTTCTCTAGTCATGTGACCAGTGCTCACTCAACTGGATTGGCCCTTGCCACAAGCTCCTCCCTCACTGTAAGTGTTTGTTTATGCTTACACACACACAATCACTCTTACATTACTTTGCAGATGTGGCTATATAAGGACATGGCATTTTTGCATAAAACATAGTTGTGTTATTTGAATACTAGACTTTCTTACCGGATTACACCGGACATCTTACAAGAAAATATATTCCTTGATGACTTTGGCCTGGAGATAATGATGACGTTTACAAGCACATATCCTAATCATTTTATGTGGAAATAATTTACTGAATCTCCCATTCTCGTGATAATGTATTTTTAAAAACAAGTTTTTTTTTTTTTTATCCCAGTTCAGCAGATTGAGCACTCTGCTGAAGTTGTGCTAACCAATAGAGTACAATTGGTATTGCCAGGCCACTCATCCTTGAATCAAGCATTTATTCCTAATGGAAATTGACCAAACAATAAGTCCTCCCCCCGAACGCAGGACTCCATTGTAACCTCAGTAGCTTGATGGGGGTTGGGCCTGGCAAAG